GTCAAGATATATGTGCATTGTGCTGGAGAGTCTAGCCTCTGGAAGCTAAGATTGTGGGTTGGGAACTGCTGCTGTTTTTCCCTTCATTTTCCATGCTTGTAGCCACATGCAAAGACTTGCCCTCTGGCAAACTCTTGTTCATGGAATAGTAATAGAAGAAATCGTCATAATACTGAACTTGAAAGTTTTTTTATCCGCCTTAATGCTCTAGATAATAAGAGAAGTGAACAACAAACATAAATGAAGCTTGTTACAAGATTTTGGGAATCAGCAACAACATTAGCATTATGGACTAGTGTCTTACGGGTGGGTCAACAACAAAAAGATCTATCGGAAGTACCATGGCATTTATCTGTATGCGCTAATGAATGGTTTTAGGTGATAAAATTCACTTACGGATGAATATGCCGAGATGCAGTAATCAGGATGTCGAAGCAAAGCTAGTGTTTGTCTCTGTAACAAAATGCAAGAGACCAAAAGTGAATCAAATAGGATAATACAAAAATTCGGCGGCACATCCATAAATAATACAAAGAAGAACAATAACATCACAAATCACTGGTATTTACTTGGATACACTGTCCATTGTTATCCAGTGATTTTCACACACACACACACACACACACATTATATCTATGCGCACAGGTTCAATAAACCTTATATAAATTCAATTTTATCCAGCGTCATATATAACAAATGGGGGGAGGGGACAAAATGTGAAGAATAATCCCCATACTTAGAAGGTTCACCTGTCAATACATAGCTCAAACCTTCAGGAGATGATGTATCTGCAACTTCTGCTATCCTGTTCAAATCCCTTTGAAGCGAGCGTCCCATCCCCAACAACCCAACCTTCAATATACAGCGATGGTTGAAACTCAAACCCAAATTATCATTGAAATTGTAGCATCAACATTTAATAATTCAACACGATAATTGATAAACATATTGAAAAACTTTTCAAAATCAGGTTCAATTAACACCTGGCCACCTCCATTCGCCAGCCAGGGATTTGGCTGGAAACAGCAGAATATTTTATGGCAGCACAATGAACAACGACACTAAATTTTAAGCGCTACTATTTGTTTCGGGTAGTTTCAAAAACTTCGAAGTGCAAAAATTCACCGCACCTGAAGCTTGAGCACACTAGTTTTCTCAGTGGCAGTAAGTACACTACCCTCAGACCGATCCGAAAGAAACCCAGAGACCAAAATAAACGCCGCGAAACCCATCAAGATGAGGAGGACTGGACCCAGCACCAACTCCAACACCTACCGCCGGCCCAACGTAAAATCCACCGCCGCCCCCACCAAACCCAAAAGGAGAAGGCGCATAATACGGCACCGAGTACGAAAAGCCCGGGCTGGATGACCTAGGTACCGAATAACTCCTCGAAGACGAGAAGACGAAGAATGCGAAGAGAAGGACCTTCCACCCATTCGACCTCCAGATGCGGCTATTGCCGAGTTGGGATCATACATCAATAAAAGCCCTAGCAAAACCGCAGCTATTGCCGGCTTCCTCAAGGCCTTTAACGCATTCAATATTGTGGTCGCGATAATCTCGAAGGGAGTTTTAGAGTATTCTCCATCAAGAGGCTCAGAACTCATTTGTACCGAGGACTTTTGCGAGAATAAGCATTTGATACAATTATGCGTCGGTGAATCTTTCGAGCGTAGAATTGAGCAAATTTAGGCGGTTGAACGAACGAGCGATTGGTGTAAGGGATGCGACGAGGGAATAATTGTAGAGGGAAGGATTGACTCCATTTCAAGGGGTTAACTTCAGGTAAGGAGATTGTGGCCATGGATGAACTGGGGAGTGGTGGATTGGTTTAAGTCAAGAACATAATGTTCTTAAAAATGACAATAATCCGTTAGCATCATTAGCGTTTGCCGATTACCAGTTTGAGACGAGCAAATAACACCAAGCTTTGGATTTTGTGAACATTCGGTGATCCTCGAAATAGGCTCACGGATGTTCCTGTAGCTTGCCAAGAATGTGGACCTCAAAAAAAAAAAAATCTCAGCATAATACCATAATTCACGAGCCCATCCACTTGCACGTGCGCATGAGTTTCTCCTCACAGGCCTAAAATGGTCATTGACATTATCTACTATCTGAAAATCCCATCAGTAGATCGATGGCAGCACAAGGACGGGAAAAAAAAGAAGAAGAAGAAGGAAAAAAAACTGAGTTAATAAATTTTTTTTAAAATTTATTTTTATTTTAGTTTTAATTTCTCAAATTTTAAATTATAGGTTTTAATTTCTTAAATTTTTTTATTTATAACATAAATTTTTATAATTTAATAAAAATTTGGATGAAAACTATAGTTTGAGACTTAAGAAGTCAAACTAAAATAAAGACAAATTTAAAGGATTAAATATTATATCAACCTAAAAACTTTTCTTTAGCAAACCAAGAAAAAAAGGACTTAAAATGGTTAAAATATATAAGAAAGTTGAGAAATGACTATACAAGCTAAAAAATAAAAAAAATGTTGTGCAAAACTCATGAAAAACGAAGTTGAATAGTAAATGTGCGCAGAGACTAGATAGCCCATGCTATTTATTATAACCTCTATAATTTCTACATATTTTATATTAAAATTTTCCTCGTTTTAAGAAAAAAAGAGAAAAATTAGTCTCAATAATATTTCCCAAATTTTATACAATAAACCAAAAATTTGGAAACCCATGAAAAATCTTCAAAAAAAAAAAATCTTCTATGTGTCTATTTTTTGGTCAATCCCACATACTATCATTTTCACAATATAAAATTTTTTAGTAGCTTTCCGATAATTTTAACAGGAAAAACGTTAAATGGGCTTTTCCAGGGGAACTGCTGGATCCAGCGTTACTGTGAGCCTTTCCAATAAGATGAAAGGTCTGTCACTGGTGAATCCAGCAAGTCTCTGAAAAAGGAAAGGCCACTAATGTAGTCCATTGGGCCATTACGGTCGTCTCGTCCAGCCCAAGTAGTAAGCCTCAAGAGTCTTGAAACCCTGACACGATGGTATAAAGCAATTAGGGTTTCATTCAGCTACCGGCGCCTTGCTAGCGAGCAGCAACCGTCCTCCGCTCGACCGTCCTGCCGTGGGACTCTTCTCCTCTGCGTTTCAAAGCTCAGGAAGCACGATGGCTGATAAGGCGGTTACTGTGAGAACCCGAAAGTTCATGACCAACCGTCTGTTATCAAGAAAACAATTTGTGAGTCTCTATTCCATGGCAGATTTTTATTTGAATTTTCTGGTCGACTGGGTTCATCAATAATAACTGCAAAGATTGAGATCTGAAGATTAGATACGATGTGCTTGGCTTCTTTTCACGAGTTAATTTCTGGGACCGCATCGAATCTGTTGTGTCTTGTGCCTAATTTTTTTTCCAATTAGATTAAAGTGAACTGATTTTTTTCCATGTTATTTGGTTGTGTAGGTCATTGATGTACTTCATCCTGGAAGGCCAAACGTATCCAAGGTACTCTAATTTTTAACGTCTTTGTGATGAATTGCTTTGGGTAGATTCTGGGAACTCGTATGTAGCTATGGCAATTGGAAATCTACTTTTTAAGCAGTTACAATGCCTTTACCCGACCACTCTCATTTTTTGTTTTGGTGTATGGTACAAAGGCGGAGCTTAAGGAGAAGCTAGCAAGGATGTATGATGTCAAAGACCCCAATGCAATTTTTGTCTTCAAGTTTAGAACTCACTTTGGAGGCGGGAAATCAACTGGATTTGGTTTAATTTATGATTCTGTTGAAAATGCAAAGAAGTATGAGCCCAAGTATAGGCTTATCAGGGTAAGTTAACGTGATGTAATGGAAATTATCTCTCTATAACATGCTTCTGATCATTTTCTTAATCGACAGTCTCTACTGCCTTTGTTCATATGACTATCAATGTATTTTTCTTTCATGGCCCGAGCGGGTCAGTGGAGACAGGGGTAGTTGGCTGTTTCTTCTAATCTGAACAAAATTAGAATTCATTAGCACCTTTCCTTAGTTCTAAACTACCGACTTGATTTTTTTTAAAATATATATTATGCTCAGAAAACCATATATTCCTCTGTGATCTGAGATGATAACTTTATCTTGGTTTGTATTTCTTCACTACTGTGTATTCTCATGTTGCTAGGAATGTCTTTTGTAGTAGCAGCGGTATGTAGCCAAGTAATGTGGTATTCTTTAGTAACGTCTGTCTGTGATTTCAATGGTGGTTGCTAGAATTGTATGTAGTTTTGAATTATCGTTAATACTTGGTGTGCTTTGGAATTAGTTGAATTTGCTTGCAGATATTTTTGGTTCTAATCCTTTTGTTATTTCTATTTCTTCCTATTCTGTGTGGTTTGTTCTATTTAAAATATAATTGGAATCTTTTTCTTTTGTTGCAGAATGGACTCGCTACCAAGGTCGAGAAGTCTAGGAAGCAGCTTAAAGAGCGCAAGAATCGTGCTAAGAAAGTCCGTGGAGTAAAGAAGGTAAATGTCATAGCTTATAATTTTTATTGTCATTGTACTTTTATATATTTTGACTTCTGTGTCACTTGTTGTGCAGACTAAGGCATCTGAAGCTGCTAAGAAGAAGTGAGGTTTTAAAAATGCTTCTATGGTTTTTAATGTCAAGTCCTCAGTAGAATCGGTGTTCCTCAGTAGTAATCATTTTGGATATTTTAGCACTATTGTTCTTTGCTTGCCATTTTAGATTTTGAGCTCCGGCAGTGAACTTTTTCGAGCAATTATACAAAACTTGCTCTCAATTTTCAACTCTCTCTTTTCCCGTACCTAGGAGTGACTATGTTGCTTTACATGAATATAGACGAGTGAATGATAATTTATGCTAGTTTTTCATGTCATAAATCATACTACCTCCGGTCCTTATTATAAGACCCTGTTTGACTTTTTGTTTGGTCTTAATTATAAGACCTCAATCTATTTTGTCTCTCATATTTATGCATTTTTTTTCAAGATAATTCTTCTAATAATGATAGTTCTAGCCAATATATTTAATTAGTAAGGATATTTTAGGAATAACAACATTTATTTATTATAAATAATTAACTTAACTTACTTCTTTAATCTCCTCAAATAAGTCAACTGGTTCTAATAATTAGAACCGGAGGTAGTACATAGCAGACTGTTGATATGAAAAGTTCTGGGAGTGCATAATTGTTCCCTCCTTCAAGACCAACTAGGCATCGTTTTCAGTCCGTACCCTTGTCCTAGGTTAGGTCTCTGATTATTTCGCTTTGTTCGACTGAGTTCCTCCCCCCTCTTGTCAACTGGGTACATCGTTTTCCCCTCGTCTATTTTGATCAAGTTTCAGCCATTTTTCGAACTTTCATTGGGGTATTAGCTTGTCTTGCACAAGCTAGTGGTGGTTGCCTTGGAGCGTAAAGGAGTCTATCCTTTTAAACAAGATCCTTTTTATTCCCACTTTGTAACCCTCTGCTTTCTCCATCTCTCATGGCTCACTTAGCTGCTCCATCTGAACGGTCATCAGTTCCCTGGGTTTCATTTATTTTTACAATGCTCATTAATTATATAGTCTTGAACTCTCATCGTATTTTTAACGTGGAAAAATAATCTCGATTATAAATAATCACACACTTTTAAGGCGCTTCATGCTGTTGTTCCGTTTCCGTCCTGAGTCACGAGGGATTTGTCAATCAGAAAGGACGTGTATATTGTTTCTCGCATTCACTGCACGGTGAACTCACTTCAGTTATATTTTATGTAGGGACACCCTTATTTTTCAAAGATGCAACTGGTTGAAAGGTTTTATGAATAACTTATCGCCACTGAAAAATTATTTCTTAAATTAGAATTTCCATCATTTGTTACGATTACAATTACTGTCAAAATAAAATTTTCACTGTATCTCTAGTCGAGTTAAAATTCACATGCTCAATTGCAACGGCTCATTGCCAATGCGATCTGTTTTTTTCTTTTTTGGTTCTTTTGAGCTTGGGGGAAAAATGAAAATGCTCGGCAATATGGATTGGAAAAAATAAATGACGGGAGGACTATATAAAAATAAGGAAAAGTTTCAATGACATTTTTTATTTAATATTTACAAATTTTCGGCTTCATGATTTGTGTTTTTTTTTTCGGCCGACTCTCACCACATCATTTTTTAATGCCCACTCTCGCAACATCATTTATTTGAATATAATGGACTTTTATTATATTTATGATGAATATTTAAATATTGAAATTTTATTTAAAAATTGGTTGTGATGTACACAAGCAAAATAAGCTTTTGTCTTATTTTCAACATAAATTTTCAAAATCAATCATGAGAGGAGAGAATATAAGGTTTTCTTTGATACAAAATATTAAAAATAAAAAATAAGGACTGAAACTGTTATTGAGAAAAATCATTAAAAAAATATTTAACATGAGTAATTGCTTATTATATGACATTGGAGATAGAATTTCCCAATCGTACATACGTGAATCTATTCAATATGATGTAACGAGCAATTTCTCGTACTAAATGTTTTTTTAATAGATTTTCTTAATCTTAATCCTAATTTATATCTCTTATTTTTAATATTTCATGCCAAATGAGACTCAAGTTTCTATCCAGTGACCGGTCTACTTACAAAAATGCCTGTGCGTTTGTTACTCTCTGAATATGCATGAAACCCAGAAAATGCCACATCACACATGAAACCCAGTTCTCTGGCCCCTATTATATAATTATTATTCTCTTGGGCGAAGAAATAATTTATCTAAGTTTGTCGTGAAAAATCATACTCTCTCAGCAACATATTGGGTCCTGTCAATTTTGGCAGGGCATTTTTTTAAAAATAGTAAAGAAGTTTGAAGATAATTTCCTTTTAAAGTCCTAATAATTCTGATTGGGTAATTAGCACTTATTTTAGGCACAAAAATCGAAATATTTTGAAGAAGAGAAAAGCAAAGAAATAATTGCTTCATGATTTAAATCTTCTCGGAATGCTTTGGGTTGGTCCCCCCACATACGAAAAAACAGAGCAACAAGGCACAGTCGCCACTTTTACTGATTAGTGCTCTCGTCCAACAAACTGGTAAGCTCAACCTTGATCGTCAAAGAGCAATCGGAGCGCGCTCCAAGCCTCCAATTCAGTGCGTAACTCATTAACTAATTTTAGAAAAAAATACAGGTTTTGACAAATAAATCCCATAAAAGCAAATGATTTTGACCAACCAGGATTCATCTTTGACGTAATTGAAAAGATCTTTATCCATGACTCGTGGTTACCAAATTCTTTCATGATCCAAATGGTAAAATGGTTAGAAACTGTTTCATCGTCAATAAAATTAAACAAAGTCCTTTTTTTATTGTTCAAATAATTTGTCGTTCAATAAAATTAAACAAAAGGGGTAATATTTATTAATTTATAGATATATTAGCAATAATAATAGATGATGACGCGTTGAACTACTTGGCGACAATTGTTTAGTATTGAACTAAGTATTGGATAAGACGAAGCTTAGCTCATTAACTCATCTGACAGATCTCATAAAAGCAAATGAATTTGAGTAACCAGCCAAATAGTAAAACAGTTGCAATATTTTCAGTATTAATAGGAATGAACACCTTCCCCTTTCTCAAGTAAATACAAGCTTTCATTGTGATAACGGAAGGAAACACTCTTTTCTATAGCCCCCACCAAGAGATTGGTTGGAGTTGTTGGATTGAACCTCAGAATCTGCCCACCATCCATGTATAGTATGAGGTCACCGTTCTTTCTCGCGCCTAATATGTGATCAGGATCCATCTCTGACGTGATTGAGAAGATGTTCATCCATGACTCATGGTTGTCAATTCCTTTAGTAATCCAAATGGTAAATTGGTTAGATACCTGCTCATCTTCATCCGTTTCTTCATCAGATTCATCAAAATGCCACTCGTATGTCTCTTGTATCAAGAGAAGCGAGTCCCCTGTTGTTACAACAGAAATCTTACCCATGAGACGTGCATCACTAGGAAATAATATTCGTCCAAACACTTCATGTGTCAGATTAAATGTAAGTATAAAGTCATAATCATCGCTTCCTTCTTCTTCATGATAAGCACGCCAATAAAGCACACCATTAAAGAATACGGGGGGTTCAGCACGATAAGCGAACCAAGAAGAAGGGATAGTGAGACGTTTCCATGACCATGAGACGTATGAAAAAATCCAAGCTGAGTCAACTTCAATGATAAACCTAAACGGATCAGTTCGGCGATAAAGAAGACTTACAATCTTAAAATCATTGCTGCTACAATCAAAACCAAAGCCTTCAGCCGACAATATTGCTTCATCCCAAGTCATCATGAAGGGAAACCATACATATTTTCGAACAGTTGGGTTCCAAAGAATAAATTTTGGAGGTTTTTTAGTGGCAAGACATACTAACCCATTGCTTACTCCTATCAATCGTGTGCCTTTAAAATCATCGACAGGAGGATTTTTTATTGTGCGAAGCAAATCGAACTGATCATTATCCCAATGCAGTGAATAGGTTGGTTGGCAACATGATAGCCGACTTGATAGGCTAAGAGATGAACTTCCACGAGTTTCTGCGCTCTCTCTAATAAGAAGGATTTGGTTTCTGGAATCAAAAGTTCGTTTTGAGCTGTGGGATATGAAATCAGAACTAGTAATCAGGGCATTCCAATCTCGGCAAATAAAAGCACACTGAAACAGGATTTGGACGTCTAATCTGAGCAAAATTTCTTCAATAACATGGAGAGGAATGAAAGGAATGTTGCCATATGAGGTTGTGAGTTTTGCTTCCATAAAGGGCGTCACGAGTTCGATCACGTTGAAGGGAAGAAAAGGAAATATAACACAGAATAACAAGTTTATGGGATTGATGGGGACGAGGCTTCTAGGATTTTGCGATTCATGAACGGTTAAGCCAGGAGTTATGCTATATAAAGCGTGGTTTTTTTTTTGGTCAAAAAGCTGTATATAGTTGCTAATGATAAATGTTGACTGATCTGATGTGATCTTGAATTTCTAACGCGGTTGAATTAACATGCGAAAAAGGAGCGGTATCTTTTTATCTGTATTGATATAATTTTTTTAAAAAAATAGATTTATTATAAAGATAAAAAAAATTTATTCGAAAACAAAATAAGGGAGCTCTTGATCATGTGACATCATATCCATAATCTATTTTTTAAATGCAGCGTATCTATCGTCTATCTTCCATACTTCTATGTCTATCGCTCCCATATTAAATATAATATATGATCTTTTACAAAATCATATTATATAATTTTTTACTTAAGTTTTATTTTTTGGACAATTGAATTTTTTTTCCCCGATAAAGTGAATTTAATCAGTATTAAAGTTTAAATAAAGAAATAATTTCAAATTCAAATTAATTTTAAAATTTTAATTTAATTAATAAATTTATTTTATATTCTGAGAGCGTAAAAAATAAGCATCTCATGATAAAGTTGAGAGAAAATAATTAAAAAAAATCTCATTTTTCAATTGCATTTTAGTAACCGGAGATAAAAGTGCCCGTATGCGCAGCCGACAATTGGAATTTTTCTGCCAACATATGACAGATATCAATCTAATTTTGTAATCATCTCATTGACAACACTTTAATGAAATCACGGCATGATATTTGATTTAAAAATTAAAATAAATTTCTTTAATTAACATAAAATCTTTAAAATCGATAGATTTTTTTTATTAATTGAATTGATTTTTCATACGATATATAATTCGTTTAAAAAGTTGAGAAATTACAACGGAACAATAAATGGGCTCGCTAATTAATCAAACCCGCGTCAATAAATATTTAAAAATAATTTAATTTTGGTTTTATTACAAATTGACAAAATAACAAAAATAAATAGTGCCGGGATAAAATTTTTTGAATGATTAGTCTCAAATTTTGATCGATGGTTTTCTTGGGAATGGAGGTTGGGCATTGAAGTTTGTTAGGTGCAGCCGATAACTGAGGGTAGACGAAGAAATCATCCATGTTCTTCAGGACTAGAAAGTTAGAGTCTATGAAGATGATTTTGTCATAGTCCGTGAGTTGTCATATTCTAAGCTTACTGTGGTTCCATAGAGGATCCTTTCAGGGCGAAGGGATTTAGGATTCGTTGAATGAGCCTGATCTTCCATCCTGCGGCTTGAAGGCCTTTTATGGATTTGGGACTGATAGAATTGTCTGCAAGGAGGATGAGACCTCAGATCTCTGTTGTAGTTGTAGAATTGAACGACGCTCAGTGGGTTTGAAGAAGGCTTTGGGCTAAAGCAATCGCTCCACACACAGAAGCTACTGAAGAGTGAAGCACCGTGACGCTGGCCAGTTTTGGCCTTGGGTCGTGCTTCAATACCTTCGATTCTGACAAATAAGCTCTCCACACCTCTTTGCCTATTAATTGTTCCGGGAAACAAATCTCAATAAAAATAGCCATGCACGGATTACTAAATCATTAGTCATTATTGCCTCGCAATCTGATGACAGTAAGAAATCAGGGCAGTATTATGAGCTTCCTTAATAGTCAAGATATTGTTTTTAATGCTGATAAATGCGTTTCCAAAAGCAAAATAGCATAATAACATATATACAATGGATATAAAACATACCTGTTTGTGCATAAGCGGGGGAAATCTGGCATGATCCTGGAGGGCATCATATGGTATGCGTGTAGAGTCCATAAATGGAAACAAGACGAAAACCAAAGGGACAATGATACAAGTAAAGGCCCCAAAAGAATTATTACTAAATCACGATTTCATTACAATTAAAGTTCTTGAATCTTAAGCTGGCAAAAAAAAAAAAGCTTTCGAATTTTACATCTCAATTTAAAGTTAATAATTTTATGAAGTCCTCAGTTGTCATTCTATCGGGAAACAACAAAGAGAACAAAGAAATGAAAGAAAATTAGTACAAGATATCCCATTAGAGCTATTAGCGATTCCTTCATCTCGTGCGGCGCACCCTTCTTCAGACGGGAAAAATGTCCCCTTAATCATCGTGATAATTACGGGAGAAAGGTAAACCTACCCCAGAACACTATTTATGGCATCAATTTTGTTATCACCCATTGACATAATATTTCGTGGAGGAGCCAGACGGGAAAAAACGACCTGTCTTTTTCTTTAGGCCCGAGAAAGTGACGGGAATTTGGGCCACGGGCAGGAAGTAGTCGGGGACTCTTGGGTTTGGCGGGGGTCTCTTTCTTCTCGGCTCAATCCTGTTCCCTTGCATTACAATTCTAATTTCCTAAACATGCTCAAGCTCTCCCTTTCTTAATCATTGCTTCTCCTTTTCGATCTCCACGGTTTTCATCGCTTTCCCGAATGTCAAATAACTCCCTGCTCCCCATCGGATTGACTCTTGGCTCCATCATGGAGGACACTTCTGCTGCTAACGGTAACATGATTGATAAATTCTCGCCATTTTTCCGTCTGGTTTCAGTTGAATTTTGCTTCTCTTTACATTCTGTTTGCTCATCTACGCACACAAACGAAGCTGTCTTGTTGAAGCAGCTGTACAGGACAGAGACCACAAGTTCCTAACAAAAGCAATCGAAGAAGCATATGAAGGGGCTGAATGTGGCGATGGCCGCCCTTTTGGCGCAGTGATCGTTCGTAACGATGAATTAATCGTGAGCTGTCATAACATGGTTCTGAGAAACACCGACCCCACTGCCCACGCTGAGGTTACTGCAATACGAGAGGTTAGATTGACAAGCATCATTTTTTCATCTGTGGGGTCCTGGAGATCTCCATCTGATGGCTGTTCAAAGCAGGATGGTCAAGTTGTCTTATTGATCTCGCCTCATCGTTTTTCTCGATGCAGGGATTGGTTATTCTGCTCATTAATTTGATAAGCTGTTTTGTCTTTGGAATCTTTCTATAGGTGCTAATCTACCTCATGCTTGTGGTAAATTGGAGTTGGTGTTAATTAATGTGCAGGCATGTAAAAAGCTGAATCAAATTTATCTATGTGGCTGTGAAATGTATGCGTCTTGTGAGCCTTGTCCCATGTGTTTCGGAGCAATTCAGCGTTCGAGAATAAAGGTAACCTATAACCTGCCAGTACCCACAGTTTCTCCTCTTTTGCTAAGTGTTGTTTTGGACGTTGCTGAATTCACGTTGAAACAGAGACTGGTTTATGGAGCCAGAGCAGATGCTGCGGCAGCTTTTGGATCTGCTGGTTTTATTTCAGATGCACTAAGGGGGACCGGGTTTCATGAGAAAGCTCACCTGGAGATTAAAAAGGCAGGTGGAACTCTTGCTGTAATCGCAGAAGAGGTATTTGAGAGGACGAGTTCTAGGTTTCGTGCTGTCAATTAGGATCAGTCTGTGCCTCGAACGAGTCTTGTCTTCAGCTTACTTTTGTGTCTGCCGATGGTCAACGTAATGTTTTTGGTGAAAATGGTCAGTGTAATTTGATTCTTCAAACCATCGTTATCACCAATTTATTTCTGTTTTTTCCGTCATCGAATACCAACCCCGGATTATCCTATCAATCATTCATATTAAATATCAATTGTCTGCATGTATTAAATCATGCACGAAACCTGAAGAATAATTGGTTTTGATTTCTTTGTCGTTGCATCATCTTTCACGACATTAATAAAATACGTACAGCGTATCTTGAAATTTATAAGCCGAATCTATTTAATTATTTTTAATAGTAATTTTTTGCCCTTGCATAGAAATTAATTAATAAAAAAACCATAACATCACGCGTATCACGCGCCTACAGTTAAGAAAAGACGACCTGGTTGCTGGAAGCATATGTATGCCCCTACTTCAAAAAAGAAAGAAGTTATCAACAGTGCTTTTAGCTTCTAACTTGAATTCTTCATTCACCTTCGTTTCGCAACTCCTCTATTCTAGCTTTAATTTGATCCTGCAACAATTCCAACTGCTTCAAATAAGCTTCCAGTTCCAAAATCTTTTGCTTTCTCTCTTCCTCATCGCCTTCTCCCCCACTTCCGTATTGTTGCACCAACTTCAATCCTGATCCTTCCGCTGCATTATTATTGTTCAATGGTGATAAACACGACCTCATCGTCTCCTCTATCAGCTTCTTTACATCTCTGTTCTCCCCATTCAAACGCCCCGATTCATCGCCATCATCTTCTTCGCTATGCACCTCGATATTATCGGTATCCGGTTCTGGGCTTGATTCCTCGTCTTGATTCTTGCCCCAGATCTTTTGGGAAATCTCAAAAATCGCCTCCTCCTGGGGGTTCTTGTGTGAAACTTCCCTGCCGGAGTTGATTTTATCCAAAACGGTCTGGTGTTTTCTCTTTAATACTCGAAGCTTCTGGACGACTTGATTCTTGTTGAAGTCCTTGTTCAACTTAGGCCTGATGTGATCGTAGAAGAATGTTACGTCGTTTTGGAGAGATGTGGTGGCCCATCTGTTCTGCTTGACGTAACCCAGATATCCCCTCAAGAGTTCGATCTCGTCTTGCTTCGTCCACAGCCTCTGATATTGTCTCCGCGGATAAGAATGGCTGATACGCCGTCGTTTTCTAGAGCCCGTGTCCGTGTTGGGAATGTAAGAGTCGTCGGCGCCGGGAGCGGCGAGGGCAACGGGAGTGGATTTAGTATCACCAGCGCATGATGTTGAGGGAAGCTCCTCGGCTTCGCGGAGGAAATGCTCGTTCTCGCCGACGTTCTCGTAATGATCTTCATCGTCCACAAAGTTATCTTCTTCCTCTGAAGAGGACGAAGAAGAAGGAGAGGACGCCAAGATCCAAGAAACCAACGGCGAAAGCATTTCCGAGGAATAGTTCAGAATTCTTCGTGAAATGGACTTGCTCGTTTATTTGAACAAAAGCCAAACCCTGTTCGTGAATGGCCGTCGTGTATTTGCCAATAATAGGAATATGGGATGCATATTCTGTTCTAGTTATTTTTTCCCGCCTTCCCTTCCCTTGTATGAAAGACATTGCCTGCTAAAGCTATGGCCAATAGAAAGGAAATTCCATTTCATGTAAACTCCTCCTTGCTGCCAAGCGCCAATTAATAAATGTCGATCAAAACCCATCTCCCGTTATCAAACTATTAAGGGAGAATGACATTAAGGTCCCACAGAAGCCAAAATATAGCAAAAAGGTCCCCTGAAATGTCATAATTTTTCTGAAGTCCCAAAGGGACTTAGATGCAATTTTCAGAATCTACAAATTACTCTCTTGCCCTGCCCTAAGCCATCAGAAACGAAGACGCAGAATTTCATTTGGGTGAGAGTTCCAGCGCAATATGCTTGAGAAAGAAGACATTGGGAAAGAAGGAAGGAGCCATTGATGATGAAATATCCTCTCTATTACCATTAGTGAACTCCAAAGAGCTTCTCCACAAATTTTCAGGTGTGGAACTTTCTTTCTTCTTCTCTCCTACCTTTCTTGACAGATTGTGCTTTTGTTTGGAAATGGAAAATCAAAAAATCGTTTTTGTGTTTTTGGGTTGCTTGTGGGTGGTTTTGGGAATGGGATTCACAAGTTAATCAATAGAAAAGTTGTGTTTTCGGTTGGTGTGTGTTGGTGATTTAAGTTGGGTGTGTAGGATGATCATGGGTGCTCTGTTTTTGGGTTGCTTGTGGGTGGTTTTGCTCTGTTCTGATGCTAGTTCAGTGGCAAAGGAAGAAAAAGATGAAGGTTATGTGGGTGGAAACCCTTAGTACGAAATGGGATATTGTGTTGTCAATCAGGCCGCGATAGTTGTCAACGCGTGCCGCGACAGTTGTCAATATAGCTCCTTGCCTTGTTAATGACAGTTGCGTGATTCTTGATGCAGGTTTAAATAACTGATGGCGGGTACATCTGAAAAACATCTATTTTTGCTTTACTCACATATGGGAAAAGTTTACAAATAATGGAGAAGATAATATGAGATATGTGAGAGAACATATTCAAGTCATTGTGGAAGGAGTCCAAATCCCAGCTGAGAACATATTGAAGTCATTGTGAAAGATGCAAAGAGCCTGGACATACTGTCAAGACATGGAAGAACCCAAATCCCAGCTGAGAACATATTGAAATTAGCTATTTTTTTGTATATGGATGTGAAGGGAATATTTTGTAAATAGGTGTGAAGGGAATTTTTTGTAAATGGATACACACCAATAGTTAGTTTCTTGTAATTATATGCAATCCCTATGTTTTTTTGGGATGGGTTGTGAAATAGGTGTAGTTTCATGTATGTGAAGGTGTAAATGAAAGTTGACTATGAATTGGCATGTTAGATTCTGCTGTCATTTAAGTTGTCAATAAACATTATCACTTGTCAATTAATTTGCTGATGTAAGTTGTCAACAATATGAATTCAAGTTACATAACCTGTTTTGGTAACATATGATATTTTCAATCACTCTGTCATATTACATTTTTCGTTATATTGTCATATATAATAATTATTAATGAAGTGTTAATGGTGGCACGCTGACTTGTCAATGATGGCACCATGACTTGTCAATGGTGGCACACTGACTTGTCAATGGCGCACTCTGACTTGTTATCAGAAGTGGAGAGCTGAAAAGAGGTCATCCGCCGCGGCTTATGGGAGAAAACGCCACGGCGGCTAGAATAGAGAGGGAGGAGTGCATTTCTGTAAAAGGCGCCGCGGGGCATGACCGAATCCGCCACGGCGCCCAAGCTGACTTGTCAATGGTGGCACCATGACTTGTCAATGGCGCACTCTGACTTGTTATCAAAAGTGGAGAGCTGAAAAGAGGTCATCCGCCGCGGCTTATGGGAGAAACGCCACGGCGGCTAGAACAGAGAGGGAGGAGTGCATTTCTGTAAAAGGCGCCACGGGGCATGACTGAATCCGCCACGGCGCCCAAGCTGACTTGTCAATGGTGGCACATTGACTTGTCATTGTGCTCTTTTTAGCTCTCCACCTCTGATAACAAGTCAGAGTGCGCCATTGACGAGTCATGGTGCCACCATTGACAAGTCAGTGTGCCATTATTGACAAGTCAGCGTGCCACCATTAACACTTCATTAATAATTATTATATATGACAATATAACGAAAAATGTAATATGACAGAGTGATTGAAAATATCATATGTTACCAAAACAGGTTATGTAACTTGAATTCATATTGTTGACAACTTACATCAGCAAATTAATTGACAAGTGATAATGTTCTATTGACAACTTAAATGACAGCAGAATCTAACATGCCAATTCATAGTCAACTTTCATTTACACCTTCACATACATGAAACTACACCTATTTCACAACCCATCCCAAAAAAACATAGGGATTGCATATAATTACAAGAAACTAACTATTGGTGTGTATCCATTTACAAAAAATTCCCTTCACACCTATTTACAAAATATTCCCTTCACATCCATATACAAAAAAATAGCTAATTTCAATATGTTCTCAGCTGGGATTTGGGTTCTTCCATGTCTTGACAGTATGTCCAGGCTCTTTGCATCTTTCACAATGACTTCAATATGTTCTCAGCTGGGATTTGGACTCCTTCCACAATGACTTGAATATGTTCTCTCACATATCTCATATTATCTTCTCCATTATTTGTAAACTTTTCCCATATGTGAGTAAAGCAAAATAGATGTTTTTCAGATGTACCCGCCATCAGTTATTTAAACCTGCATCAAGAATCACGCAACTGTCATTAACAAGGCAAGGAGCTATATTGACAACTGTCGCGGCACGCGTTGACAACTATCGCGGCCTGATTGACAACACAATATCCCATTTCGTACTAAGGGTTTCCACCCACAGTAACCTTCATCTTTTTCTTCCTTTGCCACTGAACTAGCATCAGAACAGAGCAAAACCACCCACAAGCAACCCAAAAACAGAGCACCCATGATCATCCTACACACCCAACTTAAATCACCAACACACACCAACCGAAAACACAACTTTTCTATTGATTAACTTGTGAATCCCATTCCCAAAACCACCCACAAGCAACCCAAAAACACAAAAACGATTTTTTGATTTCCCATTTCCAAACAAAAGCACAATCTGTCAAGAAAGGTAGGAGAGAAGAAGAAAGAAAGTTTCATACCTGAAAATTTGTGGAGAAGCTCTTTGGAGTTCACTAATGGTAATAGAGAGGATATTTCATCATCAATGGCTCCTTCCCTCTTTCCCAATGTCTTCTTTCTCAAGCATATTGCGCTGGAACTCCCACCCAAATGAAATTCTGTGTCTTCGTTTCTGATGGCTTAGGGCAGGGCAAGAGAGTAATTTGTAGATTCTGAAAATTGCATCTAAGTCCCTTTGGGACTTCAGAAAAATTATGACATTTCAGGGGATTTTTTTGCTGTATTTTGGCTTCTGTGGGACCTTAATGTCATTCTCCCAACTATTAATCTAAATTCAATAATAATCAGGCAAGACCAATTGAAGTTCGAATTTGATCGATGAGAATGCAGCAATCTTTCAGGACGTTGTCAAGAAAATCGTATATAGTTAGGCTAGTTTTTATCTCTATTTTTGGGCCCAACTGATGGAATTGAGGGTGCAGATCAAGATTGTCCCAGCTCAAATATTAAAAAGAGGGAAAATTGCAATAAGATCTCATTCAAACAATTAGATACAAAAAAATCTCTTAAAATTATTGAATTAATCTGAAACTTGTATTAAAAAAATCTGAAGTCTCGGGGGCCTCATTTGGAGAGAGTCCACTTATTTAATTACTAACTTGTCCTTTTTTTTTCTAAGTATGGATTGACAACTGAAAGAATAATCGTTAATAATTTAAAGTATTTAAAGTATAATAACTATGGTAACAAGTATTGATAACTCATACATTGTAATTTTATGATACACTAAAAAAATGTGTTATTAATACCTTTCGTGATAGTTGTTAGTTGTTACGTTTTAAATTGTTAATGACCGCTCTTTCAATTATTAATGTATATTTAAAAAAAACAAGGGTAATTTAGTAATTAAACAAGTAAAATCTTTTCTAATGAGATCTCTCAGGATTTTAGATTAATTTGATAATTTAAAAAATTTGTATTTAATTTTCTTAGAAAGGAACTTGTTGCAATTTTCTCTAAAAAAGATGGGTTATCCCACCCATTTAAAAAAAAAAAAACCAAGTTTTATCCAACCAAACAAACAGTGTAAAGCCCAAGTTGTCTGGAATGAAGCGAGGCCCAAACAGAAATGGCCCAGCAAGGAGGAAAGAACTTTGGCGTGAGGAGATCCAACGCACAAGAACCCCCACCTTATCCGAGTCCCTCCCAGCGGCATATGCTCTGCCTTTCCATGGATGCCTTTCATTTCATTTCTCCTCCACCCACATCATCTCTCCGTCACGCCCTCCCTTTCTCCGCCCTTCTTCCTCTTTTCCTTCTCTGCATCCCTCCGTTTCAACCCCACCTCCCAAGTCATGGCTTCTTGTGCCGCCCCAAGACCGGCTTTCTCCTTTCACCTTTCCTCCTCTTTTCCTCAACTTCACCCTCCAAAATCCAAGCTCCACCTCTCTCCTTCCAACTCCCTTCTCAATCCACTGTGCCATAAACGCTCTGATCCTCCAAAATTCATCTCATATTCCATTGACGTTTCCAAAGAAGATACTCCTACTTCTGGCTCAGAGCAGCCCGATTCCCCCTCCTCGTCTTCCCCTTCACCGGACTCTGAAAATTTCGATAAGCGTCGCCTGGAAGAGAAATTCGCGGTGTTGAATACCGGAATTTATGAATGCCGATCCTGTGGGTACAAATACGACGAGGCCGTGGGTGACCCCTCTTATCCGATTCCCCCTGGACTTCAGTTCGGGAAGCTTCCCGATGATTGGCGGTGTCCCACCTGCGGGGCTGCCAAGAGTTTCTTCGAGAGTAAAAGCGTCGAGATTGCTGGTTTTGCTGAGAATCAGCAGTTTGGGCTTGGTGGCAATTCTCTCACTTCTGGACAGAAGGCTGTGCTCATTTATGGCAGTTTGTTCTTCTTCTTTGTTCTGTTTCTTAGTGGCTACTTTATCCAATAGCTTGATCACCCAGATTTTCTGTTTTTAAATCCTGGATCCTTACCACTGCCGTGCCTAATATATTCGGGTTATTGTTTAGTACGAGTTGCGGTCTTCATTTTTTTGAAAAATAATGAATCATCGACTTTTTCCCCACCCATGTTGATAGCGTGCTTGCGTATTTAGGAGCCAAGTACTTCACCAGAGTTGGAGAACTTGTTGCTCATCTCCCTAATTTTCCAGCTAGACTTCAATCTTCAGCGTAATGCCCTGCATTCCTAGTTATGGGGAAAAAAATGCCTTGGCTAGAGAAAGCTACTTTCCTCTTTGGAGGGAAGCTAGCCGATTATTTTCTTTGAACAGAAGGAAAAACTTGGCGACAAAACCGCTGGATACTGGGATAAAATTCGAATTCACCTGCTTATGCTGTAAATCTGTGTCTCAATGGAATTTGCTTTTCTCAAGTGGAATCTACAAAAAGTGCTTTTCAAAATCAGTTAACAGATTTTTATATATTTACTTTGGATACTTAAAATTATTTTTAAAACTATGATTTAGTTTCTATTCAAACACTCTGAGGTTCAAGTAGATACTCCTTTTGTTATTCATCTTCGCCGTGTCGGAAGTCCAAGGCCAGGGAGAGGAAAACCCGAGGGAGGAGTGTTGACTTTTTATGCGTTTCTGTCATGACATATTGACATTCGATCAAAATAGTAGAGCTTGAACGAGATTCGTCAGATGCAGTGTGAACCATTTTGACTTATATCCCTGTGACAGTTGCATGAATACCCTCGAGGGATCGAAGCACTCGGTGCTGAATCCATCCATGTTTTGGATGTGAATAAATCTTCTCCCGGCAGGCCGCCTCTTTTTTTTTTTTTTTTTTTAACACATTCTTCTTCAGAACTGCTCCGCCTATTTTAAGTGACGCAGATTCAGGAAGCGTGTTGCAAAATGCCAGTCAGGTTTAAGTGAGGTAGCTATTGAAACTGATAAACTTGCGTGAGAAGCTTGCGTTACCGGTTGGAGTATTTGAATTTTTAAAATTAGCTGTATGATGTGGTCCCTTATACCACACACTAATCGTTATTAATATTCAGAACTTTACCATCTACCGATATGATATTATAATCAGTGTATTGATATCAAGTATAATAAAATATAAAATTCATAACAAATAATACTATCCGCAAATCGTGTGAATTTGTGCCGTTGTGATCGTGAAATAGTCCACTTAGTCGCACATGTGAATTTATATGAAAGTTAAGTCGGTACAAATAGAATTTAAACAGGGCAGAATAATAAACAAATGATAGCTTCATCTTGCGCGTCAAATCTATAAGAGACGGATAATTCCACCTTTAAATAGGTCAAAAAAACACAGGTGCAGATTTAGCAATGTTATCAGTTGTGCCCAAAATACTTTTTTTGTTTGTTTGTTAAAGTATAGGTATCTTTTTATTATTGAAAGTAATCCTATTTGAAATATTGTCGGGCTCAAAATACTTCTAAAATCTAAAATATGAATATTCACCGAGACCGACAGACCGTGACGGAGCACTCGCCTTCTCCCTGTCCTTCTTAAATGACACTTTCGCTTCTGAATTATATATCCTGTGTTATAATTTTTAATCATTCATGCTTTTTTCCCCACTTTGATAAATCATAAAACCCATTCTCGGGCCGTTTGTAACACTACTCGTTGAGGTGAAGTTGTTAGATAGAGCTCCATCCATACGGTCGAATTGCGTACTGGCAACAATATCTAATGGAATCCGATGGGCAATGGCCTATTAAGGGACAGAAAATGAAGAGGGAAAAAAAGCATAGCCCATAATCGGATACAGTGAATTTTAATCGATGCTGCTATCAGCCCCGTAGGCCCGACTTCAAACACACTTTTCTTCTGTGATTTTTTTTTTTTTTTTTTGTGGTCCGCGGGTAGCTTTTATTTGGAAAAGCCTCGTTGGCGCTCTTTTATTTTTCAGCTGATTTATATGATTGTTACGGGCGACGGATGTGCATTATATGAGGCGAGTCAGGTGACCAATGGAGGTTGGCCTAATGAAATGCTCATTTAAAACAGTTTATAAGTAGTTTTTTAATTGTGATTTACGGAATACGGAGTAAATATATGATAGGAGTTTTCTCTCAACTTACGTGAAGTGTGCTTATAAATGATTTCAATCATGATGACAAACAAAACCAAAATAGGCTAGGTACTTACAACGCAACAAGTCAAGATTCAAATCTCTATTATAAGAGATGTCTATATTTAGCATTTGACTTAGATATAATTGATTTCAAATTTCTATTATACAAGATAAATATATGAGAGGAGTTTTGCCTCAACTTACATGAAATGTGCTTACAAGTGATTTCAATCGTGATGGCAAACAAGACCGAAATAGGCTAGATACTTACAACACAACAAATCAAGATTCAAACCTCTATTATCAGATATGTCTATATTTAGCATCTGACTTGAATATAATTGATTTCAATATGAGAATATTTAATGGCAGAAAAAAAAAATTGTGAATTTTTGCTGTCAATGTGTTCAATCTAATTCCCAGCGAACAATATTATGGGAGTCAATTTACTCCTCGTACATTTTTGGCCCCAAAAAAAAAATAAAAACTCCCCGTACATGAATTGTAGGAAAAGCAATGCGCAGCGTCAAAATGAACTAATTAACCTTGCCCATGGATGATTTTTAAGCCTCTTTACTGTTTCATCGCCTGTGAATCCTGTTGCCATCTCACTCAATTGTCTTAACGGGTTGTTATTGTCTTTTGAGGCTTGGTTTACCCTTTGTATTCATGTTTGTCGTGTTTTGTACTACTTCTGACATCTATCTAATATTACCTCAGAATTAGTTGACTAATTTCGATATATTAAAAAAACAAATCAAATTAGTTATTTGTGATAAATAAGTACTACTTTTTTTAAAATATCTTTGTTAGTCAAGTGTGTTGATTATAACTACTGTTATTAAAATAACTATATTGAAAAAAATGTATAAATATAAGAGATAAAGTGAATTGGGGTCTTATATTTAGAATCAAAATAAAAGTTAATTGACTAATTTAAGTAAATTAAAAAAGTTTATTAAGACAACTATTTATAAGAATTATATGTTATCTTCCTTAAAATACTGTTATTAATCATGTGTATTGATTAGAACTACAATTTAATTGAGTTTTTAACATGTGCAGCTGTTACAAGAACTATTTTGAAAACAAATTGATAAATATAAGAGACAAAGCATATCAAGGTATTATATTTACAATCAAATTAAATGCCATGATAATTTTTTTATTAAAGATAGGGATAGTATTATATATAAATAATGGCAATGGCTTCCACTGTGCACGCAAGACATACAAGTGGGCTGAGTAAGCATTCCTATTCTGATATTACCTTCGCTTCTTAATATAAGAATATAAGAGTTAGTTGACTAATTTGAGTAAATTAGGAAAATTAGTCATGTTAGTTATTTGTAATAAATAGATATTGTTTTTTCTAAAATATCTTTGTTAATCAGGTGTATTAGCCAAAACTATCATTATTACAATGACTACTTAAAAAAACATAAGAGACAAGGTGGATTGATGTTATATACTTAATACTAAAATAAAAATCAAACAAATTTTTATATTAAAGACTGTAAGTTGTGTGATTTAACGCATGATTACCATCATGTGTTGGTTCACAGTTGCCCCAGCCAGATTATCACGCGTGATTTTTTCAAGTAAATTTTATTTGCCAATTATTTTCATCAATAACTTGTTTCTGGCATGGCCAATTGAAGCTTATAGAGGTCCATGGAAATTATGTAGAGATCAAAATTAAACACAAGCTTTTTTCACTTAAAATAATCACACCGTGAAACTATAATCAAATAGGCTGTACAGCGTATCCAACTCTTAATGTTAAAAAAAAAAAAATGGTAAGGATGAATCCAAACGTTTTGTGTGTTTGGACTAACACTTGCAAAAATGGTTTTTATTTCAACCGATTTGTCAAGTTAAAATAATTTGATATAAATTTAGTTGGATAATATGTTGAAAAGTCAAGTCTAAGAAAGAAAAATAGATGAAAAAGCAGGTATTTCTTCTTCTTTTTTAATATAACTCACAATATCCTCACTCCATTTTAGACTTGAGATTAATCTTTATTAATAAGTGTGTTTTCTAAGATTCAATTTTTTATTTTTTATTTTTTATAGGTGAGATTATTTATTATCTCAACTAATAATTTATTGGTGTATCTACCAAACCTAAACTTGACAGGATGCGATTTATTTGAAGCACGCGTGTCCCCGTAGTACCATGTTGCTAGACAAATAAATTAGATTAGGTTCAATTGTAAGGCTCATATTCCCCCTCCTGGTGCTATGAAAGCGGAAGCCGGCCTAAAAAACAAGTGAAACATCGGGGCCCAGGCCCACCTCTCCCCCAAAAAAAAAACGTGAAACGTGCTGCAGTAGTGCACCTGATGTTAGTCAAAAGGCCGAGAAAGGCATAAAACGTGAAACATCCTGGGATTAGAGCCGCGGGCCCAGCCCGCCAACCCGCCAAAAATGCCGGGCTCGGGTTGGCAAAATGCCAGCCCGCCAAGGTGCGGGCTACTCCAGCCCGCACCATTTTCAGCCCGCTCCGTCGCGGGCTAGCTTTCCAGTTGGCGGGCTAGCCCGTTTTTTTTTTTTTAAATTTTAATTTTTATATAATTTCTAATATGTTATACAACATAATTGGAAGATTTTAACCCCCAAATTTCATATTTACATCTTCTCATCCATGTAATTGCATATGTAATACATACATAAAAGATCTACTTAATTAATTTGGATAAGAAAAATAGTCAAATTAATTATTTAGAAAAAAATATGTGTTAGTTTTTCTAAAATATCTTCTCAAATTATAAATTAATCCTCACATTATTTTATTATAACTCATTACTCAAGTTTAAAACTCCAAATCCAATTTTAACATTACAAACTAAGTCCAAACTTATACAAGTAATAATTTTTTTTTTTAAAAAAAAAGTTAGGCGGGCCGGCGGGCTCGGGCTGGCAAAATGCCAGCCCGCACCGCTTTTGGCCCGCACCGCTGCGAGCTGGCCCGTATTCGCACCGCCAGCCCGTATTCCCAGCTCTACCTAGGATGCATGAGTGCTATTCATCATGACACGGCAAGTCAAAATACTCCTCTCCCTGTAGACTGTACACGC